AACTGCCTCTCTTGACAAATACTTGGGTTGCAGTTTAGAATCTGCAGCAAACCCTCTTCTAGTAGTGCAACGATGATTGTCCAATGCATATCCTTGATGTTCATGATGCAACATACTCTTTTAACGTTTGCCCAACTGTTACCATGTTTGGGCCTTTCCCCCTATACATACTGCATCATCTTGTCATCAAACCGAAAATCATCAAGGACACCACCGAAGTCATATGTGGCCAATCTTTTCCGCTTGCCTCCCCTTGTTGCATCTCTACCATTGGCCTTTTTCATTAAAATGTCATATGTAGTTACTAACGTTTAGCCAAAGGTCATATCGGTGATGGCATAGTACGGATACAAAATATCACTATTACTGCTCTATCGTAGCCTCATAAGTGTCAATATCTCATCAATGTGCTGCATCAAATGAAAATAACATGATAAGTATACAATACCTCATGGAAAACATAAGCAAAAATAAGGAAAAATAACTCATCGAGTCATCGAGCCACCTACCCATTGTCAACATCTTTTCAAACCACTCTTAGAGATAATCCCCGATCTTGCACTTCACTTGCCCATCACTTCCAGAATCATTGTAATAGGCATAGAAGAGTTTTTTATTTTCCTCATCTATTGGCCTATACAAATCGACCTTTAACTCCCCCATTTTCACTTGCCCACTTCTTCCGCCTTCCTCCTCACCCTCCTCCATTTTCACTTCCCCACTTCCTTCGTGTCTCGCCTCACTCTCCTTTATTTTCACTTCCCCACTTCTTCCTTACCCTCCTTCATTTTTGCTTCTCCACTTTCACGGACTTCCTCATTTCTTTTCTTTGTTTTCCTCTTCTTTCCATACGTTACTGATGTGTAAGGAGAAATTGCGTGCTTACTCTTTCAGCTCTCTTTTTTATGCTCAAGTTGCACTTCAACCACTTTCAATACCCCACCAACTTCCTTCTCCACCCTACCAACTTCCTTCGCCACCCTATCAACTTTCTCCTCCACCCTTTTCATCTGCTATTCCTAGGGGTGTTCGGTTCCAAGTACCCTATATTTTTTGAAGGAACCGAAACCAGAACCAGAACCAGAACCAGAACCAGAACCGGAACTAAGGTTCCTTGAAATTTGGAATCAGAATCAGAACCAAAACCGATGGTTTCTGTTCCTAGGTACCCAGAACCAGAACCTGTAACAGCAGTTCCGGTTCCGGTTCTGATTCTGGGTATCCTGTAAAATTACAATGAACCCCCAAAAGTTTTTAAATAGTAAGAAAACCCTTAAAAACTTGCAAATACCCCCCACCTAGCACTTGTTAACAAAAATAAAATTACAAATTATAAATTCAAAATTACAAACTCCATTACTTTGTAAAGGTAGATTCTCAAAATTCAAACTAACTTACTTTAAATGTTATGAAATATAAATATAAATGTATTCACATTACTTTTTCTACAAAAGTTTTTATTAACCCCCTTACTCCTTAATTTTATTTTATATTAGTCTCGGTTCTTGGTTCCGATTTCGGTTTCTAACTATAGGAATCGAAACCAGAACCACACAGTAACGGTTCCAAAAATTTGGAACCGGAACCTACCCGTTGACGGTCGATTCTGGGTAGGAACCGGAACCAAACCCTGGGTACCCACTGGTTCCGGTTCCAATCAGTTCTTTTGAACACCCCTAGCTATTTTATCTCTTCAAACCTCTCATAAACAACTATTGTAAAACTCTCAAACAAACCGTTTATGAGGTCAACCACCTCATTCTCCCGACCCCAATGCCTCGACAAAGTGGTACTTGTTGTACTGGTTTGCCATTGGGTGGAGGCATATGAACCTCTTCATCCTCCTCCTCCTCCTCCTCCCTCTCGCCGATTGGAGCTTCATCATCCTCGGCGTCAACAAAATTCTCAAGCGGTGGCCCTACAACTGCACTCACATGCGTAACCCCTTCTAGGTCCCGTATTAGGAAGTCTATCCCTTTATCTCCTGCATCATCTAGTGCTCTGATCGATGTAACATACTCCTTTCCCGCTTCACCCCTAATAAAGGTGAAGAAGGGACGGACGACTCCCTATAATAAGAAAAAAAATCAGTCAAATTTAAGCCACATTTAAAAGCAAGTGCATATTCAAAAGAATAATCCTTTAATCTTACCCGATCCGCTTCAAGTCTATTTTGTCGTAATCCCAATGGGTACACTTCTCGATGTGCCACCACAACATCCTAGGAAATTGCAATCACTCATCCGAAGTCTTCTTCCTCCCCTTGACCTTAGCCAGGACAGGGACGACCTCATACATCCAAGCCTATATTGTAAAAAAATAGTCCATATCATAATTAAAACACATATAAAGCAAAAAATATATCCTTTAATCTTACCCGAGCTGTTTGAATTTTATTGCAGTCACTCCCTACAATAAGAAAAAAAAAATAAGTCAAATTTAAGCCACATTTAAAAGCAAGTGCATAGTCAAAAGAATAATCCTTTAATTTTACCCGAGCCGCTTGAATTTTCAAGTCTATTTTGTCGTAATCCCAATGGGTACACTTCTCGATGTGTCACCGCAACATCCTAGGAAATTGTAGTCACTCATCCGAAGTCTTCTTCCTCCCATCGAACTTAGCCAGGATAGGGAGGACCTCATACATCCAAGCGTATATAATAAAAAAACAGTCCATATCATGATTAAAACACATATAAAGCAAAAAATATAGCAAAAAGCAAAAAATATGTGCTCGGTCTATTCTTCTCGACAGATTGGCGATGCTTTATCGCCATGTCTTTTCTATGCAGGTAATCCATGGTTAGCTGAAATGATACCCATCCCCCGTGAATATGCATTAAAGAAATCCATGTTGCTTGCAAACTTCATCCGATCCATATTAACAGTTTTTGTTGAGTCAGAAGCCATTATGATTGAATGAATGAACCATACCAGGCACATCTTGAACCTTTATGAAAAGGTATACCTACCTTCTCCTAACCTCTTCTCTAAATCGCGTCCTATAATAGACGCCTTCTCCTAACCTCTTCTCTAAATCGCGTCCTATAATAGACGCCTTCCCCCCCCCCCCCCCCCCCCCCCACCCCCCCCCCCCCCCCCCCAACCCCCCCCCCCCCCCCCCCCCCCCCCCCCCCCCAAAAAAAAAAAAAAAAAAAAAAAACCTTTTCAGCCAAGTTATCGGCTGTCCTACTTTTCTTTATTCTCTCTTGCTCTTCCACATCTGGAAATACCTCACATCTTAAGGCTGTCATTAGGGCATATTCCATCATCCCAAAACGTAGTGGCTTCCCATCCACCATGAACCACATTTCATGTTATTTATTTATTATTATTATTATTATTTTGGCTTTTAGCTGAGTGCAGCAACATATAATGCACTCCTTGCCCCCAGAACGCCTTTTTTCCAATTTTCTCCGATTTTTACAAAATGACCGAAACAACTCTTTTTGAATTGGTCCATACCATTCTTTTGTTCCTCTAAAGTCTCAATTATTCTCGTAAAAACTTGCCAACTTGACCTAATTGTCACCCTTACGGGGAAGCACAGTACCTTATCGCTTACAACCTCTAACCCATAGTCTTTATAATTTATGCTTCAGAAAATCTGCACAATTGATATAAACTAAATATCAGCAAAATAAAAAAAATAAAAAAAAGAAACTAAAACAACCAATAGACTGCCAATTTGTGGGATATGGGTTTCAAGGGCATTGGAAAGTGGGTGTTTTTGGCCTCGAGAGGATCGGGGAAGCCAACGTAGGCCCTACAGAGGCTGTTGTGACAAGTTCCATGATTGGAGATGACCGAGGATGGCAGCTGTGCATGCGTAATTGTGTGTGGCCAGCCTTGCAATATGCAAGGCAGCCCTCCAACCCCCCTATTCTGCCACCTCCTCCATCCCCAGCCCTCCAACCTCCCACAAAAAATCTCCTTACGGCCTCCCTTGCCTTCCCCCATTCTCTGGAACCCAAACAAAGCTATTCTCCCGATGCCCGCCAACTTAAAACGCCACAACCACCGTAACAATAAAACCAACTACATATCCCCAAAATTCTCACAAATCAATCAAATTTCTCATTAGATTCAAAACCACCAGTAAAAAAGTACCCTTTCTTCACAGACGTCCTCCTCTTCGCCTGAATTCTCGCCGACATCCTCCTCTTCAAAACCATTTTCCAACTCTTCTCTCTGTTCTTGTGCCGCTGTTGTCTCCTTTGCCTCTAGACCACCTTGACTCACTGGATGATCCATCAGAACGTCTTCTTCAACAGCCTTTGAACAGTAGCCGCTACCAGAGTTTAGGATTTGGAGTGAGGTTAGGTTTTTCTCCTCTTTGTGAATATCAGCTATAATATTGTGTAAAGAAGCTTTAAGATCGAATATTTGTTGGAAATATGACACTTTTATCGTCGAAAATTGTAAAGAAATCGAAAGTGTTCGTCGATCGTTTTATGGGTAAATTGCTCGATTAAGCGATTTTGAAGGGTGGGGCTCATTTTTTATTTTTAAAATTTGAACAAACTTTCGTTAATTATAATATTATCTATATATGTTTAAATTTTTTTAGTTTAACCCATTTTACATATTTAATGAATCCTAAATTTGTCAAGTCAATTTTTCTAACTTAAAAAAAAAAAATTACAAAATGTTTTCAAGATTATTATTTTAAATGCAAACTTGGGAGGTCTGACCAGTTAAATTTCCTCGTATTTTCGTCCAAAAACCACCAATAATTTTTACCTTTGATCAACATTCTTTATCACAAACATTGAAATCCGATCCCATCCTTTGAACATTCCAATTCTCATTCCTTTCCTATATTCTTATTCCCGTTCAATGCACCCATAAAACACGGTTAGAACTTTGACAGCCCTAATTCCCTAAGCTTTGCTTATACAAGCAAACTATTAGACAATGCTGAGAAGAAAAGCCAGCAAAATCGAAGTCAAGATCGAAGACAAAGAAGAGCTTGAACAATCCCGCAAACCCCCCACAACTTCCTCCGCCGCCGCTACCCCAACCACCACCAACACCTCCACCTCCACCTCCTCCTCTCTCCTCCATCTCCTCCCCCATCAAAACCCCTCCTCCAAATCTCAGCGCATCGGTCTCTAATCTTAAATTCATAGAATCTTCAATGGAAGTCGAAGTTAAGCTCCGCTTAAAACACGCCACAGCCCACCACCAAGTAATAACCCTTCTCGCTCCATTTCACCTCAAAACTTTGCACCAACATAACCTCTTCTTCGATACCCCAACTTCGTCACTCTCCTCTCAACGCACCGTTTTGCGTCTCCGTTTTCTAGATAAAGACACTTGCTGTATTGTGTCTCTTAAATCCAAGCCCACTTTGATTAACGGAGTGAGCCGCGTGGAAGAGGACGAGGAAGAACTAGATCCGGTGCTGGCAAAAGATTGTGTTCAGAACCCGTTGAAGTTATTTGATTTGGATTCTAGGGTTGTGAAGAGAGTGAAGGAGGAATTTGGAGTGGAGAGTGAAATGGGGTTGGTGTGTTTGGGGGGTTTTGAGAATGTGAGGGAAGTTTATGAGTGGAAAGGGTTGAAGTTGGAGGTTGATGAGACTAAGTATGAGTTTGGAATTAGTTATGAGGTGGAGTGTGAGAGTGACGATCCTGAGGGGGTTAAGAGATTGCTTGAGGAGTTTTTGAATGAAAATGGGATTGAATATGAGTACTCTGAGAAATCTAAGTTCGCTGTCTTTCGAGCTGGGAAGCTACCTTAATCAGTGAGTTTTTTGAGTTTTTTTCTGCTTATCATTTTGTCTTTTTTTTTTTTTTTTTTTTTCCTTTTAGGATTTTTTTTGTGTATGGGGACTGGGGAGTTTGCATTGTGAATAAAGTTTATGCTTGTTCTGATGGATGTTGTTAGTTATTGTTGGAATGGTTTTTGGGGTGATGCTAGTAAGTGTAATTAGAATATTATTATTTGTAATTGGTGGAGTATTTAGCTGTTTGTTGTTAGGTTAGTGGATATTCAATATTGGCTTGTTTTTCCAGTAGAGTTAGGAGGTTGTTACTTGGTTGCTTGTTCGGCTTAGTATATTTTCAATCTCATTTAGAATTAAGATGCTTTAGGTGCATTGATGTTTTATGAAATTTATTTGTTCTTCAATTACGGAAAGAAATGCTTAAGTGTGCTGGATTGATTCTCTTATAGGATTTCATGTTTTCCTTTGTTCTTCGTCCTCAGCTCAACATCAAGCAGGACATTAAACCACTCCCATTTGCCCTTCAATTTCACTGAATAGAGCAAGGGAAACTAGTGGATAAGTTTCATTTTTTTTTCCTTGTCTCTCTTCTTTCTAAAGATTCAAAGAAAGCCTTAGCTTTAGCCTTATCCTTTTTCATGCCCTTCCAAAGAAAATATTGGTGATGTCATTTTTTGTTTATCTTTGTTCAACAAAACTTGAGTTTTGAGTTAGAAATTACTGGAAATGCACTTCTCCATTTAATGATTTGAAACAAGATTTTTTTTCTTTTTTTCTTTTTCCTTTTTAGGAAACAGCAAGAATATTGATTGGAAACAAACTTACTGCTATTATTTTTCATGATTGTGGTATTGATAGTTATGTTTTATTTCTGTTTCTCTTTGAGGTGTGAGGTGTGGCCGCTCAGTTGATGTCTTGTAGACATGCATAGATTTTGGTCAACATGAGCTTATTAATCCCTTAACTAAATGCCCTGCATAATGTCTCTACCTGAGAATGTCAAAAGTAAATTTTGTGTAACCTTAGGTGCTAAATTCTTTTATTAGGAGCGACCTCGTGCCCCTTAGTTTTCTCTCTTACACTATTTATCTCCACCGTAGTGTCTACCCCTTGCTCCGAAACCTTCAAAGACTCTTCTTTGCATACTTTGGTTCTAACAGTCATAGTCGTGGCGTGAGAATTTGTCACATGATCCGTGTTGCCTTAAGTGCTAAACTTTTTGGTGTTTTCCATAAATTAATCTTTACTTCACTCCAGACCTAGAGGTTTAATTGAGAGAACTAGAACTCGAGAGAGTTGAAAGAAGTAAGCAACTGTATTATTAGCCTAAGAATTACAGTTTGCTTGAGAGATTAGATCTATGTTCCTTGTATGCTCTTGTATACATTTATGTACTCTGGTCATCTCCTATTTATAGACTTCCACCTCATTTTATGGCCACAATTATGTACAAATAGTGGCCAATATTATTCACCTAGAATGCTCCTAATTCTACCTGAGCATTCTCCTACACTAGAGTATTCTAAGGTTATGCACATAGATATTGAGAAAGGGTTGCAATTTTGACACAACACAAAGTTAGCTGGTTATTATTGACGTTGAATGGTTTGTGTTGTTTTGTGTCAACCATATAACCTCTTTAGTAAACAGGTGGTGGTAAAGTTAATTATCCTCAATCTCGTGTAATTATAGTTTTAATTAATTGTGTTGTGAACCTGTTTATTATATAAATAATGAATTTTAGAAATTAAAGAATTAGAACCTTATGTTTTGGGGCTGAATGTTTATATAAAACTCTATGTTTCTGTAATCATTATAAAAAGTATTGACATTAGTAATTGTATATTGGTATAATTTGCTAATATTGGATAAATTCATGTAAATATAGTAAACAGGTTGGTAAGGTTAAATTGGTTATATCATTTATTAAACAGGCCAAATGGTTTGTGGTTCACCCATAAAATAAATGGGTTGTCTTAGGGTTTAAATTTTTGATACTATTAATTAAATGGATTATGTCTAGGTCGATTAAAACCTATTTATACCCCTTCAATTGATAAGACCCTAAGCCAACTCATTTTGCCACCATTAATCTGGACTGTATGTTTTCTCTAGCATTCTAGATACTTTCGAAACTATTACTTTAGTCTTTGGAGGAAGATTTCGGAACATCATGGAAGACTATGGAAGTTATTTTGGAAGGTCATAGAACCTGGGAAAACCTACGGTTGTCTCCAAACTTATCTAGATACCTGTGGCACTCTCAACAAACTAGGAGGTGCAGAAGTCTCTATAACACTGGAGTTTTGATGTTAGCTATTGCTTGAATGGTTTTATGAGTGATATTAGTTAGTGGGTTTAGAAGATTAGAATGTAGTTTCTGGAGTTTTAGATGTTTGTTGTTGAGTTGGATATTTTTATTTATTTATTTATTATTATTATTATTATTATTTTTGTCTCTCTCTCTGTAGATTTTGCAGGTAGTTTTTGGTTGTTAGTCTTGCTTCGAATTGTTTAAATCTCATTCAAAATGGAGAAGCTTTGGGTGCATTGATGTTGTATGAAATTTATTTCTGCTTCATTTTGTGGAAAAGAGAAGCTTAAAGTGCCGTTAGATTCTTTTACAAAATTTCATGTACTTTTGGAGCCATCAATGGAACATTACACCCACTGGCATTTACCCTTCATTTTAACAGAAGAACTAGGAAAATTGGTTGGTAATATTCAATTATTTTCCTTTCCTTCTCTTTCTTGTTTTTGACGATTTTAAGAAAGCCTTAGTCTTTGTCATGCCCTTCCAAAGAGAAGACTACTCTGGTTTTATTATTTTTGGTTTCTCTTTCTTGAATAAAAAAGTTTTGAGATGGAAAGAAAATGAGAAAACTTGTAAAGACAATTATCTTAAAAAGTGTAGTATCTGTAAACGAAGCACCATACTAAAGACAATTATCAATACAAATTGCTTTTTTTCTTATTCAAACATATATGAAAATGCTTGTGATCTCACAGGCTTACCACAGGTCTCCATCTTCGTTTAGAATACCCATCCTGATCATACATGCAGTTCACTTACACTCTTAACTGATATCATTACCAGGATAGACTACCTGAGCACTGCTATTGATAAGTGTGAAACTTTTATGATTTTACATGTTCTAATCTGTTGTATGTTCCATGTTAGAGAAATATGTGCTGTCCCTGATTGTGTTATTCACTTGATTAGGACAGTCAGTTTGATGGTTTTCTTATTTCTTTGTTTGCTCTTGACAGGCACTATACGTGCTGTGGTATGTCTTAGACTCTTAGAAAGAATATAGTCAGAAAATTAATTATCCCTGTTTAACTTTTATGTTGGGTACTTAATTGGAACTTTCTTACTTGGTTCCTATTGAATTGCAAAGTCATTAATTTACCTGTAAATTGTACCAAGATTTATGGTAGTAAATTTGGCAAGGACTGCCAAAGTAACATTTCCCATTACTAACCTTTTGCAGGGTTTCTTGTGGTACGGTTATCTATGGCCAGGTATAGGTTTGGAAGAGATCATTGTAATGGACGAAGAAAAAAGGTTTTAGAGTTAACTCTCGAGAACCAGAAAGAACTTGTCACCGCAATCTCTCTGGAAATGCCTGCATTTTCCACAGGCTTCTCCTCTGATAATAGTCACCATTTTTCTCTTGTGAACCATTTTATCATGAAGTTAGATAGATTCTGGTGTTTGTTATGAGTTTATACTATTTTCATATTTATAATTGTTAAAGTGGATTATTTTAATATTTGTCCAGTGCACATTCTGTTTCACTCTCCACACTGCATAATATTAGGTGAATCAGGAATGCAAACTGAAAAAATTTAGAACTGCAGGGAGACCTTAAGGGTAAGTAAAATAGTCTTGATCTGAATGAGCAACACATTTGAATGGGTATCATACAGCTGTTCTTGCCTTCCATTTTCAGTTGCTGGGCATCGCCAGAAAACTGAATTGCTTAAGGATCATATTAAAAGTATGATAGAAGGATAATGGAATATGTCCAAGAGCAACACTCTTTTTTGACAATTTATAATTAAATACACTTATAAAAATAATACGATTTTAACTATTTAAATGTATTAAATTTTAAGGATTAAAAATAGTTTTAAAGATATGAAAATCGGATGCAATCTCAAGTATTTAAATGTATAAAATTGTATCAAAATTTGTGTAAGATGAAATTCTTGAACTAATCTCTCGAAGGCCGTGTATTTTAGTCAAAAACCAACTAAACATTATTTAATTAAGATTCAGATTAAGGAACTTTTTTATCAAATAAATATATTCCTTTCGAAAAAAGATGAAGATGAAGAGGAGAATTCAATCTTGGATATATTTATGATGTGATCATATAATGAGCCAACGCCAGCCAACTTCTACTCATCAGTCATAAATAAACTGGAATAAAGATGCCCAATTTCTACAAATTCAGCACGAATGGGCACAATATCCGCATCGACAACATGTACCATGATATATCCGAAATAACAAGATAAACACTCGAAAAGCTGCTCATTCATAGTGGGGATGCAATTTTTTCTACTCTAAGCAATCTGATCAACTAAATCCCACCTTCCCTACTAAAAGCTCCCGAGACAAAGGTAAAGAAACATATCGAAGCTAGTGGAGCTATTGTTAGTCTTCACTTTCTCTTTTTAGTAGGTGGCTGAGGAACGTCCTCCTCTTCTTCCTCATCTTCCTCATCTTCGTCTTCATCTCCATCATTGTCATCACCATCATCATCATCGTCGTCCTCATCATCGTCTTCGCTTCCTCCATCACCATTAGCCTCAGGGTCATCCTCAGGATCCCCTTCTTCCTCACCTTCTTCTTCACCAGAGAAATCTTCATCATTTTCGTCATCATCCTGTTCATCTGCGTTATCCTCATCTTCATCGTCATCATCCTCTGTTTCACTAGTATCTTTAACATCTGGATCAGGGCGTTCCCTTTTGTGAAGTTCATCTAAAGAAAAACTGCAAAAAGGAGTTACATTCACAAATCTAATTGATTTAGTTTCTCCTTCTAAAGCAATGATGCAGAATTAAGACGAGGAGCCAAAAGAACGTTATTACCTCTCATCAATTAAATTCAATTTTGGTAATCCATCGATTTCATTCAGCAATGATCCAGTCTGAAACATATCATAACTCATTTTAGCAATAAAGAACAAAGAAAGATAGAACAAGATATTTGCTCTTCTAAGTCATTGAACAGAGATTGATCTTAAATAACTTACACCACTTGAGGTAGATGTACACGGGATTTAAAACATGTTTCTTCGTCAACCAAATTTCATCATTAAAAAATACCAACTAGACATGAGTGCATAAACCGGCCCATAGATGATAGCTACATAAACCCAAGGTTTCTAAATTAGTTGGTTACTAGCCAAATCAACAATTTCAACCCGATTGATCACAGAGCAAAATACTGAACCACCATTAATTTTGTACAAGAGAAGGTCAAATTTTTCATGCATCAACATGTTAAAAAATTAAAAATATTTTAAATGGCTCAGAAGTTAGAGAAATAAGAAGATATTCAACCCAACACATCGATTAAAATGCACAGAGAGCAAGTTATAAGACAATAGTGTAACAAAAGAAGAAGAATAGAAAATTGCGAATTTTATGCTGAAATTTGGAAACTAAAACTGGCATCACCAGCTCTACATTGCAAACACAAAAACAGCTGAACTTAAAACCAAAAACAGTTGGGCCTTTGAAGCAGCAAAATAAAGACGTAGGACGTATCAATCGGCATCCAGTACCAAAACAGAATGAATTCTCCGTTAGCAGACAGCAAGTCAGCACATTAATTATAATATCCAAAGCCAAGTTAATAATGTACTTACTTAGGTAAATAGAGGTGATAAAAATCACAATTCCATTATAATATTGTAAATTTAAAGTGGAAAATAAAGTCCACTAGTTGGTAAATCTTAACAAAAGTGAACATATCTCACTAGATAAAAGCAAATTATCCTGTTCCTAGTAACACCGAATGTTCCTCTCTTTAAAGGCAAAACAAAAAAGAAGACTCAAAAGATTGACAAGGAAAAACACACAACTCATAAAGTACAAGCAAAGAAAAAATCAGAACTTTAACAAAAACAGTAGATCCCCACAAATTTCAAACACCAAGGAAAACCTTCAATAATCCTAGAAATGGTGAAATCAAATGAATTTGTGCAGCTCAAGTTCAAAAGAAAAGTGAAGCTATACATGAATGCAATGAGCGCAATTGAAAAATGTGATTTAAAAGACGAAGTATACCAGCAAGACAAGGCAGGTGAGAGACTCAGAAGCAGCAACAAGAGCCTCAACCACAAAAGCCTCCATGACTGAGGGTACCCACATACTCTTTTCCAAAGAGCTGCAACTCCCCACCTCCATTTTTGCTCCAAAAGTAAGAAACTATGCTCAAAATCACACAAAATTAGCACAAGTATTGCGAGAGAAAAGAGAGAAGGGCAAAGACTTTGAAGTCAGAAGCAAAAACCAGAGAATGAGTAAGTGGAAGAGAAAGACCGAGAAAGAAAGACAAAGGAGGGCTGATTGGCTTACTGGGTCTGGTTGGTTGGGTCGGGTTAGTGTGAACCCTAGGGTTTTGCTACTGAATTTGGTGGTTTCAATTTTTTACTCCAGGAATAGATTGGGCTGGGTCCTGGGAGGACTAAAGTGTCATTAAAGAAAAATGATTGCTGCAGTAATTTTATTGAATTCTCCTCGATGTTTGGTTAATTTTTATGAATTGGAGAATTTTTATTTTAAAATTTTGGGTTGAATCAAGCACCCTGGACCTGGAGGTATAAAAAAGTACAACATTTTTCATAAGTTTTTAAAATAACAAAACTCTCCCTGTAATTAATAAAGTGTTGTAAGCCACTAAAATTTACATAAGATTAGTAGGCCAAATCCTATTAAACCCCTTTGTCCTACTAGCAAATATTTTACATAATTTAATAATTTTTTTACCCTAACACGGGTGTTAAGAGTCATTACAAGTATCTTACGAGGTTTATGGATTTGGACAATCCTTGAGGTGTTAAAAGGAAATTGTTATATTTATAATCTCTTCTGTAACTCTAACATGACAACTTACAATAATTAATTTGTAATAAGTTTTATCTGGGTCTGATCTGATAAATTGTGACTGATTAATTGCGAATTATCACGTTGAGGTTATAAGAAAAACTTATGAGTGTAACATTATTCGGTGTTTAAAATACTAATCCCAAATTTACATTTTTAAAAGTTTGTTAATAATACTAAAATTGTCATTCTATTATTTATTTTAATACCTAAAACATAAGGGTAAGATGATTTCTTTATTACCTTAATTAAATGATCATCTCCATATTTAAAGTTATTATAAAAAAGATTGTTAATGGATTCAAATTTTATAATTAATGACTTTCATACTGTTTATTATTTTACATTTTGGGTACTCCTTATATTGAAAATTTTATAATTTTAATCCNAAAAAAAATTGCAGGCGTCCAACTATTTGAACATCAAGGGGTTGCTTGATTTGACCTGCCAGACCGTGGCTGACATGATAAAGGGGAAGACGCCGGAGGAGATCCGCAAGACCTTCAACATCAAGAACGATTTCACTCAGGAGGAAGAAGATGAAGTCAGAAGGGAGAACCAATGGGCCTTTGAGTAGAAGAACCATCAAGGCCGGCCTTACACAGTTACACCATTAGGAATATGTTGAAAGGGAGCAGCAGCAACGTCTGATGATTACTATATCGAGTTTGGTATTAGGTTTCTGTAGTCGGTATTTTCGTGAATTTCATATGTGATTCGGTGTGCTTTGAACCCTTTGTTATGGAATAAATGTTTTAGGTTTTATATATAAAAAAAAATATGGTTGGGTTTTGGTATTTGCTTGGTCAGTGATGTTAATCTTTCTCCAATTCTGATAAGGATGATCTTTAATGGAAAAACTTGAATTTGAAGCAACCTATATTTGATCAAACATCGGACGGTATTGCGGATCGCACTGAGTATACTTTTAATTATTTCGTGCTAGCAAAACAATATGCAAAAAGTTGGGGATAAGGGGGAGTCTATGAATGGAGGACTCTCTGTGAAACAATAATGCATGCTCTGATAGATTACATACGTCCCTTCAATTCATATTAAGTAAATGAAATATTGTCATTTGTATTTGTGTTTTAGTCAGGAACTAGCCCCATTGTGACTGTTAATTCTTCCAGGTACACCCCAATTAATCAAAGTTATATAGTGTATATTTTTTGTTGATAAAGTCCCGTGGGTTTGCCTTGGTATCGTGTTCATAGTATTGAATGATCCCGAAAAATAAAGCTTGAGATGAGAAACTAGGATGTGTGTTAACACTCCTCAAAGGTATCAAGGTTCTTATAATATATATATATATATATCCTAAGACATAGGCTATATGATTGCCATTTTGAGGGGCTAGAAGGTCTTCATTTTGACACATCTACAGATTGCCTGAGACATGGTTGGATTTGATTAGTGATGATATGGCATAAATTGATGAGTTGTATTTTATGGTATATGTGGCTTCATGTAATTGGTGTTTGATATTGTTTGTTATTAATGACAGATTTTAATAACCTTATTGATTATTGTTTGTTTCAGATTGACAATAAATAGTGTCATATACATTTACATAGCTTTATACACAGAACGTTTTTTATTGTTGTTTGTTTATAAATTTTTATGAATGTAAGGGGTCTTATACGTTGTATGTTATTCACAATGCATTTATGTGAATTTAGGGGGCTTGTGAATATGAATGGTTTGATAAGTTCTTATTTTGTTACATTGTATGTGTTATGTGTTGCTCTTTAATAAAAATGGTTATAGATATTTATGAGAATGTGAAGAGTTGTACACTTTAATTGGATGTACATAGTATATATATGTAATATTTGTATAATTTGGTACATTATTACCCGCAAGAAACTCAACAAGGAACAGAGGTATAGTTATTTATTTTTATATGTTTATATGTCATGTTCTTGCCATTTTATTGTTTATTTTTTTTTGCTTATGTTCATGCCAGTTACTTTTTCCTGGAATTTCATGTTGGTATATACAATTTGTGGAAGGAAGAAAGCTTTTGCTGCTTATATATCTTGGTGAAGGTAAAGTTATTCGATATTGTAATTTTGATATGTTTATATGTGATGTTCTTGCCAATTCCAGTTTATTCGCACAGGCGAATTATGTTTGTTTATTATTGATATAACAAATACTTTTTCCTCAAATTTGATTTAGGTATATACAATTTTTTGAAGAAACAAATGTGCTGCTTAGATATCCCTGTGAAGCTAATGACTTTTTTTATTTGTTTGTTTTCATTAAAAATCCAGTTGACCAAATTATAATTACATATATAACAAGTTAATGTTTATATGCCGAACGATAGTGATATAATGATTTATATTTTAAGTTATGGTTTGGCAGGTGAACCATGATGAACCATTAGTATGTTTGTCATTATGTCATAGGAACTCCACACAGCGAATCATGTCGAGCATCATGAGCGGCCGAAGTATAATGATTTATGTTATAATTTATGGTTCCATAGGCGAACGAGAATAAACCATTAGTATGTTTACAGTGGTGTCGCACAGGTGAATTATGTTGGTTTATTACTGATATAACAACTATTTTTCCAATTATAATTACATATATAACAAGTTAGTGTTTATATGGCATGATGTTGTCGGACAAAATTTGCAAGAGTGAACTATAATAATTAATATTATAGTTACGGTTTGGCAGTCGAACGATAATGTATCATTGGTATGTTTGCTTTTATGTCACAGGAGCTCGACACAACGAAATATTCAATTTTTGATTATATTGTAAAAATTCAGCTGCCAAACGATGTTGCACCATTACTATACGTTATTGATAATTGTCTTTTTTTTTTCCCTTGTAGGCAATTTATTGCAATGTCTTATTGTATGCTGAAAGATCTTAACCAATCATGTGATGATTGGATAATCGTTGCCAAAGTTATAAGATGTTGGGAATGTGTTAATTTTAAAATGAATAACAATGTGTTTAGCATTGATATGGTTTTGATGGATGAAAAAGTGCAAAATATAAATATTTATGTTAGTTAAAAGTTTTATTATTTATATATTACACATATTTGTTAACACTTTTCATTTACATTGGTTTTACAGAGCAATGTGATGCATGGAACTATGCCAAAAAATAGGATTCCTAAGTTTAGAAGCCAGATTCATGAAGGTTGTATATATCTCATCAGAGATGTAAGGGTTATAGGATGTGCTGCTTCTTACAGACTTGTGGAAGGCACATATCGTATACAATTTCTTATGACCACATCTTTGAAAGAGATCAAGGAACCAAGAATAGCCATTCCAAAGTTTTATTTTAAATTTTCTGGTATTCATGATATTGAAAATAGATCACATGATACTACTTTGTTGTTAGGTATATTTAGTTTTACTTATAGATATTTCAAGTCTATGAAAAATGAAGTTATATATTATATTTAACATAAATAATGATATGCAGATGTGATTGGTATTCTGAATGGAATAGGAGAAACTCAAGAAATTGTATCAATAAAGAGTAATAAAAGAGACATTAGACTGCAGATTGAACAGTAAGTTTTTTTTTTTCAATATTGATACACCCTGTTATCAATTGATATAACTAACATCGTTATTAATTCCAGAGAAACAATTACTATATCTTTGTGGGGAAAAATCTGTGATGAAATCAATAAAGTTGTGCAAATGGAAAATGGCAAGGCTATTGTTATGATTCTTTCATCAACAAATGTGAAAGAGTTTCAAGGTAATTTAAACATATTATAGAAAATTATTATATTGTGAATAATTATTTATTATTATTATTATTATTTTTTTTTTTTTTTGTGTAACATGCAAGGCAATTATTTCTGAATACAACTTCGACATCAAAAATTTATGTAAATCTCGATATTGAGGAGGTGCATTCCCTTCAAGAAATGTAAGATATGAAGGAATTGTATATTATAATATTAAATGTTGTATAACATTGATATCTTATGTATTGTTATTATTATAGAAACCAAAATATGTCAGTTGTTTAATTGCAAAAGAGAATTTTCAATGAAGTACCGGTAGAGAAGGAGATTTTTCATAATAGAGTAACATTGAAGTATATTACCGAATTGGTGTGGTATAACAATGATGATTAGGTACAATATTTACTATGTAATTAAATTGATTATTACAACTTTATTTGTGATATAAGAAATTCATTTGAATAGGTCATTACAACTTTATTTTTTATACAAGAAAATCATTTGAATACGTCATTACACCTTTATTTTTTATATAAAAAAATCATTTGAATAGGTCACTGATTTCACAATAAAGGCTACGCTGTTGATTATAGATTTGGTTGGTGCTATTTGTCTTGCAATTTTTGCAAGAAAAAGATCCCAGAGAATTTGTATTGTCAGAAAAGCAGAAAAGAATCGAAATTCCCACAGATAAG